AAAAGGGTGGACCCTTAATCTAACTATGGGATTTGGAGACAGGACCTTTGGGAGGTAATAAGACTAAAGGAAGCCATAAGGGTGGGCCCCAATCCAATAGGACTGTGGCTTTAAGAGAGGGGGAGACACCTGAGCAGGGAGTTGGCTCTGTCTTGTTGTGTGAGGCCCTGCACTGCCTCAGGACTGCAGAGAAGGAACCTCCCATATGCAGCCAGCCACCTGGCCTTAAGCTTCCCAGCCTCCAGAACCATGAATTCTTTTTTTTAAAATTCGTTTATTCACATGTGCATACATTGTTTGGGTCATTTGTCCCCCACCCCCGCAACCCCCCTCACTTCCAGGCAGAATCTGTTCTGCCCTTATCTCTAATTTTGTTGAAGAGAAGACATAAGCAATAATAAGGAAGACAAAAAGTGTTTTTGCTAGTTGATTTAAGGATAGCTATACAGTTTCCTAGCATTGCTTCCATGTACACGTGTTACAACCCAAGTTGATTCATCTCTAACTGACCTTTTCTCTAGTTCCTGATCCCCTTCCCATATTGGCCTCTGTTGCTTTAAGGTTTCTGTATTAGTTCCTCTGCAGTGAGGAAATCAACTACCACCATGTTTTGGGTTTCTTACCTATCCCCATACCTCCCGTATGTGCTCTCCCCTTATCACATGACCCAAGTCCAACCACACTGCTGCGTTTGCCCTAGATCTGAAGTCCGCATATGGGGAGAACATACAATTTCTGGTCTTCTGAGCCTGGCTAACCTTGCTCAGAATGATGTTCTCCAGTTCCATCCACTTACTTGTGAATGATAACATTTCATTCTTCTTCATGGCTGAGTAAAATTCCATTTTGTATAGATACTACATTTTCTCAATCCATTCGTCAGTAGCGGCGCATCTTGGCTGTTTCTATAACTTGGCTATTGTAAATAGTGCCGCAATAAACATGGGTGTGCAGATGCCTCTGGAGTAACCTGTGTCAGTCTTTTGGGTATATTCCTAGGAGTGGGACTGCTGGATCAAATGGTAGATCAATGTTTAGCTTTTTAAGTAGTCTCCAAATTTTTTTTCAGAGTGGTTGCACTAGTGTGCATTCCTCCCAGCAGTGTATGAGGGTTCCTTTTTCCCCACACCCTCGCCAATACCTGTTGTTAGTGATGTTTTTAATGATGGCTATTCTAACGGGTGAGGTGGAATCTTAGTGTAGTTTTAATTTGCATTTCCTTTATTGCTAGAGATGGTGAGCATTTTTTCATGTGTTTTTTGGCCATTTGAATTTCCTCTTTTGAGAAATTTGTTTAGTTCACTTGCCCATTTCTTTACTGGTTCATTGATTTTGGAAGAGTTTATTGAGTTCCCTATATATTCTGGTTTTCAGTCCTTTGTCTAATGTGTAGCTGGCAAATATTTTCTCTCTCTCTGTGGGTGGTCTCTTCAGTTTAGAGACCATTTCTTTTGTTGAGCAGAAGCTTTTGTTTTATGAAGTCCCATTTATCTATACTTTTAGTTGCTGAGCTGCTGGCAGAACCATGAATTGTTTTCATTTAATCTGTAGTATTGTTATAGCAGTAGAAAATGGACTAATACACCCTTTATGTTTCCTGTACTGTAGTCTAGAAAGCTAAAAAGTTTCCCAGACTTCTTTAGAACTAAGATTCCAAACAAAAGCAAAAAATACTCTCTAATTAGACACACTGGTACAAGACTTTGATTCAGAATTAAGTTACATGGAGAGAGTGCACACCATGCAAGCTGGCTATAGCAGGGTGTTTGCTTAGAGCTGCTGTTATGAGGGATGGTGGCTTGCTGATGTTGCAGGTCGCTTCCTGATGGTAGAAACAGCATCTGCCCCCTGCAAGCGCTCTGTAGTGTGACTCTTCAGCCTCTTCAATGATTGTGAGTTACCTATACTGCCTAAAAAATTCCTTTTGCTTAAACTAACTAAAGGAGATTTTGTCTGAGGATAAGAATCCGATCAAACAATTGGCTTAAGAAATATATGCATGAGGCCTTCGGGTGGATCCCTAATACCACAAACCCCTCCCCCGCCACCACCCAGCCACAAAAACAAAACAAAACATAACATTAAAAGATTGAGTTTACTCAAGGTTGGACTTCAGATTCTAGAGTTTGCTCTTATTTCTGGCTTACTTCAGCTTCCAGATGTAGTCTTCCAGGGGTCACAATGAGCGCCCAGTGTTTTTACAGACCTTCCTCCTTAAGATCCTTCAATTTTTGTTTTCCCAGTACTGAGAATATTCAAGACTCCACTGTACCTTTCAGCTTTTTTTTTTAAGTTTCTCAACTTATAAAAATTGGTAATTGGCCAGTAAGAAAACTAGTTTCAGTGAAAAAGGTCTCTTCTCTGCATGTCTCTTTTCCTGGGACTTTTTGCCCTTCAAGTCCTGGCTGTCATAGAACTTCTCCAGCGACTTTAAGTAGATGTTCCATGAATTCTGCCTACTTTTATTATTTCCAGGGGCTGATCAGTTCAAGCTAATCTACCACCGCTCCAGATGGAAGTAATCTGCCCTCATCTGGGGGTTCCACATCATGGATTCAATGAACCATGGATGGAAACTATTTGAAAAAAGATTGCATCTGTATAAACTTAGACTTTTCTGTACTATTCCTTCAGCATACAGTATGCAAGTGTTTACACAGCGTTTACATTGTGTAAGGTGTTAGAGACAATCCACTGAAGTGTTGCGGGAGGATGTGTTACACGCAAACACTATACCACTTTATGTAAGAGACTTGAGCATCCACGGATTTTGGCATGGGAAGGGGTCCTGGGACCAATCTCCTGACACACACAGAAGGAAAACTGTTACATATAACAACAGCTCAAATTCTGGGTATTTGCTCTGACAGTCTTTTTCTTCTGTTTTACTAATTTGTCTTAAGAAGCCCACCCCCTTTCCCTCCAAGAGTATGTAACACATTTAATGTATCACTTTGAGGAAAAGAGTTACATAATATGTAGCTGAGGTCCCAATACTGGGGCTTGGTTAAGTTGGTATTTACCAAGCTGTTGGTCTCAGAGAACTCTCAATTTCAGGTACAGAATTTTCTAGTATTGGGTTTTCACTTTAACACATGATTGACTCCACAGCATTGCCATGTGGTACCTGATGAAAACACCACCCAACAACTGATGAATGGATACAGAAAATACTATATACCTACCATGGAATATTATCTGGCCATAAATAAAAATGAAGTATCAATTTGCAGGCAAATGGATGAAACTGAAAGATCATTATGCAGAGTGAAATAAGCAGAGCTCAAAAGGATAAACAGTGCTTTCTCACTCATTTGTGGAACCTAGACCGATGATGATGGTAATGGACATGAATGAATGTAAGACTGTCTGAGGGTCAGTGGGACGGGGAGAGGGAAAGCAGGATACTGAGGAGTGAAGAGGATGGAAGCACACTGCATATATGCATATGAAGACAGCAGAATGAACATCAAACACTGAAAAGGGAGGAGGGAGAGGGAATGCAAATATAATGGAGGGCGTGAATTTGTTCAAACACCAATCACAACAAACCATTGGTGATGAGAAGAACCCCTTCTTCCCCTAGTTTTCATGTCAAGACGGCATTCTCTTCAGGCCACAAATCTTTGTATTCAAGTCCGTCCACACTTTTGTGCAATACATTCCTGACGTGGGAGGTGACAGGAACCCTTTCCTCAGTCTGTATGGCACAACAGAGGTCTCACTGGCTGCCGGCACTGGCTTCAGCAACTGTGTTGCCAGTGTTCTTTCTTCTGGTTCAGAGTATCTGGATCTGCTCAAACAGCTTTGGAGGCACATTCTCTTGGTCCGAAAACACCCCTTCCTTGCATTTATCAGGCCTGGTACTTTCAAGTATGAGGAAGTGCCAACCCTATTTTACCATTTAAAATTTTTGCTACATCCTACATGTGAATTGTTATATCTACACTTAGGCAGGTGCAAATATCTAAATAAAACTTGTGAAATTACTTTCATATGTTAACTCTTTCCTGAGAACTTTAAACCTGTTTCTTGGCTTTAAACCTATCAGATCTCCTAGTTATTTTTAAAATTTTAACATCTATTTTCTTTATTAACATATTAACATGACTGTGCTATTTTCACAGTTGCATATGGTACACAGTGGACATATCCATTTATCATTCTTTTACCCTTCCCAGTCCCAAGTAAACACTACCCTACTTTCAGATTTTTTTTGCATTTTTTCCTTAAGTTTCTACATATGAGAACATGTAAGACTTAAATTCCTTTTTCTCTATTCTAATGGGGTAGAATGGTATCTCACTGTAGTTTTAGCTTACATTTCCCAAATGGCTGATACTGACTTTCTCATAATTATTGGCATTTGTATTTCTTTTGAGAAGTATCTTGTTTTTTTGTTGTTGTTGCTGATGCTGTTAATGTTTTGAGTTCTTTGTTATTCTGGATGTTAACCCTCTGTCAGGTGAATAACTGGCAAATATTTTCTCCTATCCTGTAGGTTGTTTTTTCACTCTATTGTTGGTTTTGCTGTGCAGCCTTTTAGTCTGATACAAATTCTCTTGTAAATTTTTGCTTTTTTTTCCCTGTAGATTTGAGTAATATCCAAAATCCTGAAGTGTTCCCCTGTTCTCCTTTAGTAGGTTCAATTTGAAGTATTATGTTAAGGCCTTTGATCCATTTTGATTTTTGTGTAGGGTGAATGATAGGGGTGAAGTTTCCATCTTTTACATATGGACATCCAATTTCCTCAGCATCATTTATTGAAGGGGCTGTCCTATCCTTCTCCAATGTGAATTTTTGGCAACTTTGTTGAGAATTACTAGGTTGTTTTTATTGCCTATTAACATTCACACTTGACAGAAAGAAAATCTATAATCAAAACTATCCTGTTGGGTGGAAAACAAAGACTTTTCTTATTCAACTGAATCTCCTCATGTCTTATATAGCACTAGACAAAGAACCAGAATTCAGTATTTGAGATTCAACAGTCTGCCACTTTTCTTTGACCATACTATTTAAAAAAAAAAAAAGGCATGCCACTTTCAAGTTACTTACCAAACTCTAAAGTACTAAGAACATTTTAAAATCATGAGCATTAATTTCAGAACTGTCAGCAAAGTGAAGTCTCTGGGGCTTCTGCCTGTTTGTGGCTGCCTGTGTAATTTTAGCTAAATCACTACCTTTCTAGGCCTAGGCTTAGACATTTTCTAAGATCACAAGGTTTTCCCTCTTAAAATTCTAAAGCCAAGTGTGGTGTCATGTGCCCATACTTCAGCTACTCAGCAAGCCAAGATAAGAGGAGAACTTAAGCCCAGGAGTTCAAAGCCAGCCTGGGCAACACAGACCTTGTCTCATTTTCTTTCTGTCTAAGTTACTACATATTTTTACAAAACTAGAGTTCCTGTGACAGATGGCATATTTAAGGAATTAAGTTTTTTATTTTTCTTAAACCTTTTATTATTATTATTTTCAAGAAATGCAGCAAGAACTCTATGTATCACTCAGTTGAAGGCAAGCACAAAGACCTGCTCTGTATTGCCACTACAGCTGCAAAGAGGAATGTCAGGCAGTAGGAAATAAACTTGTTTCCATCCCTCTGCTTGGTTGTATCTATACATGGAACATTTTTAGGCCAGCTTTTTAAAACTCCAAGGTAAAGTAATCAAGCCAGGAAATCCTGCGGCTCACTGAGTTTCCATTGGTGTGTGAGAGGTCCTGCTCCCAAAAGGGCCACTAACAGATGGGCTTCTTGAACTGCTGAGAACAAGCCTCTCTCGTCTTCCAAATGCTTCATTTACTAAAACACAGATAAATAGTTTAAGAAACCACCAGATTAGGAAATTAAAGAGTATAATATAAAAGAGACTAAAATGCTGATTCAGTAAGGTTCTTTACTCTGGGGTGGAAATCTTGCTATGAAAATATATTGAAGTAACCACTATGAATGAGAAAGTAACCAACCTGGAAGTCCAAATAAATGTGCTGAACAAAGTGAATCAGTTTTTTTAAATGACGGTCCACTTTACTTTGGTTTGTAATTACCTAACCAACCTTGGTAACAGGCATCCCATTACTTAAAATAGTGACTTTGTCCTTCTCTTTTTCTAGTTCAGGTTGTTTCCTGTTTTCTTTGTTTCATTTTTTTCTGTATAATAAGCACATAAAACTTTCTGGATTTAGGTCCCTTCATATACAAACTCGAATCAGAGTAACCTAGGGGAAAACCTTAAGATCTTTCCTTTAGTGTGGGAGGAAGGATTCAGGAGTCATATATCTCTGTGTTTATAAGAGACATTAGACCACCTCAAGTAGTAAGAGGCAGCCAGGCTCTCCTGAAGAGAAGGCACCTGCCCCTTCAGGAAAACTGAATCTTGTAGAAAGTAGCAGAGAAAGGGCAGATTTATTCATACTGGACTGGGAAGGGGAGGATTCTTCTTGGGGACTATGATTTCCTTTCAGTCTTCCCAGGAAACCTTTCAATTATTTTAAAAATAATCTACACTTAAAGTGTGAAGACCTTATTTGTGACCATCAATATTTCTGAAATAAGGAGACGGTACTATAGGATGCACACTGGATCTGCCTTTGTCATCTACCTAACAAATACAAGTCATGTACTCTGGGCCAGTGCTTATAGAATTCTTTTAGAAAGAGCAAGAACCTAAGAATTCTTACCTGAGGAGATGGTGCTTATGTCCCACACCCTAAGTCCTTCTTTCTGACCTCCAAAGGCATAAATAAATGGCAAATCAGGGCAACATGAAGAACAAAAGAGAACTCCCTAGGGAGAGGAGAACAGAAATTCAGTTATTTCTATCCTTCCAGAGAGTCCTAATGTCTAGAGCCTTGCCCTGTCTCTAAGACCTTAGGACCTGAATCATTACTCAAAGCCAACTTACCACTGCAGAGGAGCTCAGTCAAGTCAGAGCTGCACAAATGCAGCCCGAGGCCATGCTGTGAAGATGTGTGCATGCTCTGAGCACACAGTCCTCTCATCCTCAGTATTCTATTAGGGTTTCCTAGTAAGTCTAATCTGCTATGTATACCCAGAAACTTTAGCTGTCCTTTTAAGCAATGACATTGACACTACTAAATTTTTTTGTGTGTGTGTGTGTGTGTTTTGGGATTTAAACCCAGGGGTTGCTAGGCCAGGCCCTCTACCACTGAGCTGCATCTCCAGCCCTTAAATCATTCTTAAACTTTTAATGTTTTCATTTTTATTGCTATATACTATGTATGCATTATAGAAAATATGTTCTATAACCACTGTTTACGTTTTTGGGATATAATGTGCTAGATTTAAATAAGCATATAAGCAAATAAGTATTTAAATATAAACATGAGATGGTACTATGAAAATGGCTTCTATAACCTGCCTTTCCATAGTGAGTAAATATATACACATGATTTTAAATAGCTATGTGTGGTATACTGCATACAGCAGGTGCTATTTGTTGAAAGAATCCCAGTTCTTTCTGTTTTCCTACTATATATATAATAATGAACTTCAGAAATCAGAGGTAGTTATGCAAAAAGACAGTGACAGATAAATCAAGTTTTACTAATAGCTCTAGTGCCCTAAGGTCTAAGATTTTCTGGGGTGGTCCTGATTTAGGGTAAAAATGTGTGGCTACTTCACTTGTGTCCTTTCCCCATTCTTCTTGGTCTTACCTAGTGACTGTGAAGCACGAGTTAGCAAAGGATCCAGACAGTCATGAATTCCCTAAAATTGAAAAAAAACTACCAAATTTGACTGAGCTTAAAATGACCTTTCTTAATACATCCATATTGTTTACTGCACTGATCCCCACAAACAGACAAGCACTACAGATTAGAGACAGAAAAAACAGAAAACAAGAATACTAGGGAATTCTCACCATTTTCATGTCTCTGGAGTGCACGAGACTTGGTCTGTCTCCCAGGATGTCCCAGATCTTCACATATTTGTCTGCTGAAGCAGTCACGAGACAGCCCTTGATTTGACTGCTCAGATCAAGACCTAAAAGAAGATATGATTAGTTCAGAGAATCTTGCTCTGAAATACAGGTTAACTTCATCATGAGTTAATGGAAATGAAAGAAACACTATTTTTCCTCACCAGAGATCTCATCATTGTGTGCATTAAGGGTAAAAACTGGCTTATCTGAACGTGCATCCAAATTATATACAAAGCCATCATCTGTACTGGCCTGGAAAAAAAAAGTAGGCAAGATCATGCTATGTGACAACAAAATTTAGTGATGCATTTAAGAAGTAAAATCATAGTGCAAATCAGCTGTGTCCTGATTTGCCTGTGGTGCTTATTAAAAACTAACACAGACATAAAGAATTTACTTTTGGGTGAGCTAGGTTTGCACTCATATGTTTGTTAGGAGTGGGAGGAGAATGCAACTGTGGTGAGCAGGAGGAATAGCGTTAGAGACAAGGAAGCACAGAGGAGGCAGCCACACCCACGAAAGCAGAGGGGCACACCTGGGAGTATAAAACTAGAGAACAGTGGGCTGGGAGCAGAGGCTGGTGAGTATAGCTACTCATGGTATGAGCTGGGGAAGAGTCCACAGAAGTGAGTCAGAGAGAGGAAGGAGTAAGGAGGGTATTAGGGGAACCAAGGAAACAGCTTCTGAAGGATCAAAGTGCTGTGATGTTGTGGCAGAGAAACTCAACCAGGTAAGGACTGATAGGCAGATTAGAAGGGGTTATAAGTCTCTCAAGAAAGGGGTGGGTGGGAATTAACTAGGAGAGATTCTAGCCTATATGTAGGTCAAGGGCAACAGGCAATACAGGAAAGAAGGAGAAAGGACAACTGGAGGCAATCTTGAAAGCTGACCTGGGAATGGACCCAAAAACTAAAGAGAAGGGAGCTCACCTGCCACTTTCTTGCTTATTTGTAACTTCATTCTCTATGGCCATTTGTTAGGAACTAACTTTACAAAGTATGTGTGCCTGACTGTTGAGAGCCAAAGTACAATACAGCATTCAAACACAACTGGAACATCACTCCTGATAACTGTAAAATGGAATCTGGTTTTAGGCAGGTAGCTCAGCTGGGAACTGCATGTACTATGGGTACAGAACTGAAATAAAGCATTCTCAGAATTGTTGCTTCAGGAACCTTACACAAACAGTCCACATCTTTTAAGAAAGATGTTCTTAGGGTTGCAGGTGTGGCTTAAGTGGTAGAGTGCCCGCCTAGCAAGCACAAGGTCTTGAGTTCAAATTCCAGTATCTGGGAATGAGGGAAGAAAGCTGTTCTTTTTAAAAATTCTTTCTTTCCCTCCTTTGAAATGCACTACATATTTAGGAAAACTGGGACACATGACTGTTTCATAATTATTTAGTTAATTTCCCTTGCTGAGATGAAAGGGATTTTATTTTCCCTGGGTTTCAATGTTACTAGGATCTTTGGATGCTGCATGGAAAAACGTCACCTTTTATGATCAGACAGTGTAATAGGGTGTTTATACAAAAACTTTATACTTTCTTCCTATTTGGCAGACAGTCCTATAAGCTCACACTCTCATTCCTAGAGCTCCATTTACATGCAAGGACTTAAGTAAGAGTATCTTAGACTGACTTATCCATTCAAAAATATTTAAAAATGAAGCTGAGGCAGGAGGATATTTAGTTCATGGGCAGCCCAGGCCACATAGTGAAACCCTGTCTCAAAAAAAAGGAAAACCCCAAAAGAAACCACTAATAAAATAATCAAAGTCAAGTGAAAATAAAACAGGACACTCTGGAATGGTCGACAACTAGCAAAATCATTTACATGTCCACTAATTTTTTGTGCCTAGGCTTCTCCCTTGTTAAATAAAAAACAAAAAAACCCCCGCCTTATATCTTCAACCTTAAGACCCAGAAAGAAGCTTCACACTGTTAACAGAGAAAAGACTTTTGGTACAGACCCTCTCTATAATGGAATTAAGAGAAAATAACTAATTAGAAACCTGGAAAAGCAAAACAGTAATGTGCACATTCTCACCAGAAAATGGCAAGGTGAAAAGTGGTTCCAAGTCACCCTTTCGATCTGTCCACTGAATCGCCACATGCGACAGCTTTCATCTGGACTCCGGCAGTCGTACAGAGCCACCGACCTGGACACACCCAACATTAGAGTTTGAAGAGCTAAAGCCGCCTTTATGTTTTAGGTTTATTTGTAATGAAACAGTAGAACAACATTGTGAAGTTGAAATCCAGTTATTTGAAGCCTGCTTTAAAGTAGAGAAAAGAAGAGTTGATTTCACTGATTGGTGAGTTTTGGTCCTGACACATACAGGCACTGGGAGCTCTAACAGTAGACTTGACCTGCAGGTCAAGTTTGGAATCCTGTTTCCAAAAGTTCAGGACCCTTCCTATTTCTCTTCCCTGGTAGAAGTGAGAGCCTCCTAACTCATGTCTTAGCCACAGCTCCTCTCCACAGTCAGGTTATTGTGCTGCAGGAACCAAGGGATACACTTTTGTAATTCTGCATCAATCACATCTAAAAATGTGAACCCACCAACCACCTTTCAAAAAGAAAAGAAACCAAAACAAAGATTGCAAGCTGCTTTGATTCTGAGACCTAGGCTCAGAGGCTATGCTTCTGACCTTGCCTGAGAACCTGTGTGATTTAGCCTGCTGGCTCCTGGTCCAGCCTAACTAAGCCAGTATGAGCAGAGCTGCCAGATGAACTCAGCCCACATTAACGAAATCTCACATGGACATAAGAAATACAAATTGTCTTAAGTCACTTAATTTTGGGATGGTTTGTTACACAACAATGGGTAACTCATACACCCTCTAAAAAACAAAGAAGTGACTAGTTTCTAGAATTAATTATTATAACAGAACCACATTTCCTTATAGCTTGAAAGAACCACAGTTGAAAAGGAAAAACAAGTATTGCTAACAATTTAAACATGTGGGTGCCTCAGTAATATATTCTATCTGGGCATCAAGTGATACTTAAAACAGTACAGCAGTAATTTTTGAGTGCTTTCTTACTTATCATATGATCCAGAAATCAGTGTCTGTGCTTCAAATGGATGAAACTGCAGAGTCTGGACCTAGGGGGAGGAAAGCTCATTGACGAGATCTATCTTTGTTTGCTTTTAGTACTTCTACCTATTCATATGGTGAAAACAAATTAGGCAGTGTTTCTATTAACTTTCCCTTTGAAATTCAGTACTATGTAAAGAAACATAAATGTATTGCATACTAGAAAGGCAAACCATGCTCCCACATAAAGGTTGCCATTACAGACATATTCCCTAAACTGTGTTTGCAGGAATACATAGTCCCTCAACACTGACATGTTCAGACATAAAAAGAAAGTGGTGAAATGAGATGTACCCAGGTAACGGCAAATGCCACAGTCCCATGAGTGCTTTTGTATATTACAGCCTAGAGGTGTTGTGTAGTCATGGATCTGTTATATTCTTCACTACCTCTATGGACATCCCTGTCCCTGCTTAGGAGCCTCTGTGGCCTCATGTCATTAGCGTGAGGGGTACTAATGTTTCTGCTTACTGTACTCCCCTGCACCCAATTTTGCATCTCTAGGGTAAGTAGTGTACCCACTGCACAGGGCTTTGTGCAGCACCAAGGGGTAACATTTGAAAGCACTTTGTAAACCATAAAAAGCCATGGATGAATATCTGGGATTATTTTTAATTAGTATCTATCTCATATTTTTGAGAATCCCTTTTATCCACTAAATCACACACCTTGTCTGTGTGTACGGCAAGGCTAGCTGCCGGTTTCCCCACGGACATATCCCACAGAACCACAGTGCTGTCAGCTGATGCACTTGCCAGCACATTTCTGCAAAAGGAAAGAAACAAACTAGGTAATCTTTTAAAAATCAAAAGCATAAGAAAAGGACTCCATTTACAATAGAATCAAAAAGAATACTTAAGAACAAGTTTAACAAGAGAAAGAATGTCTAAGTGAGTGGAAGGATGCCCTATGTCCTGTATTATTAAGGTGGAGGCACAGCATTTACAGACTGAGATACAAACTGATCTATAAATTCAACCAATCCCAATCAAAATCCCAGGTGACTTTTTCTGCAGAAAGTAGCAAAATGATTCTAAAATTTATAGGAAATGCAAGGGACCCGTAATAGTCCAAAAAATTTGTGAAAACAAACAGCAAAGTTGGGAAGCTCACACTTCTTGATTTCAAAGCTTGCTGAAAGCTCACATTTGCAATCCTAGCTACTTGAGAAGCTGAGGCAGGAAGTTAGCTTTAGCACAGGAGTTCAAGGGCAACATAGACCCTATCTCAAAACCCGACCCTATCTCAAAACCCAACCCTTCAAAAAAAACCCTCAATGAGATGCCACTTCATACCCATTAGGATGGGTATTATTAAAGAAAAAAAATGTTGGGAGACATTAGAACCCCTAGGAACAGAAAATGGTGCAGCTGTATGGAAAATAGTATGGTGGTTCCTCAAAAAATTGAAAACACAATTCCATAGGATCTACCAGTAACAATTCTGGGAACAGACTCAAAAGAACTGAAAGCAGTGACTTTAACTACTGGTGGACACTTATAAACCTATGAACATAGCAATATTATTCACATCATTCAACCCAAGTGTCTAATGATGCATGAACAGACAGCTCAATCAGGGCATACACATTCAATGGAATATAATTCAGCCTTAAAAAGGAAGGAAAACTGGACACGTATACCATGGATTAACCTTGAAGACCTTACACTGAGTGAAATAAGCCTGTCACAAAAGGACAAATACTGTATCATTCCACTCACATTAATACTGTCAGGAATTGGAATGGTGGTTGCAGGGCTGAGAGGAAAGGGAGGTGAGGAGCTAGTGTTTTAGTGTTTATAGGGCAAAGAGTTTAGTCTGGGAAAATGAAAGTTCTGTAGATGGTGAGAGTTGCACAACAATGTGAATGTAATCCAAGTCACTGAACTTAAAATGAGTAAAGGGGAAATTTCATGTTATGCATATTTTACCATAATTTAATGATGGGAAAAAGTATATAGATGAGCTGTGAAAACTGACTGAAGTAAGCAAAATGTCTCTGGGAAGCAAAACAGTCCTGCCACACCATGGGCACGGAGGTGCACACTGTGACTGCAGTGGTGGAGCAGAGGGCACAGGGTCCCAGGCATGTAACAAGCACCTGTGGTGAGGACTGGTAGGTGACTGGGAATGCAAAGATATAGCGAAGCTGCTGCCCTCAAGCAGCATGCATCACAGGAAAGGAGAGAGACACAGAGGTCCACAGCACATGAAGCAGAGACAGCAGACATGAGGTAAAATCCTAAAGGCTACAAACTTTTACAATTGTTCAACGTCATTTCTTATTACCTGATTAGCTTATTCCATGAAAGGTCAAGCACAGCATCAGTGTGTCCTTCTGCTGAGGAACTCTGTAATAATTGTTCTAATTACTTTTTGTATTAAAGCCCCCCCATCACAAAACTGACACGTTCATTTTCAAGATTCTCTAAGCCTTATGATTAAGACTGTTTTGCTATTACACAAGCTTGCTTGAAGAACAAAAGAAATAAATATTTTGTCTTCCTGTTACCTTGGGTAACTACAATAATGTATTTTTTTTTTTTTTTGGTGGGACTGAGGTTTGAACTCACAGCCTCCTACACTCAACCATTTTAGCCACTTCCTCAGGAAGTGAGATCAGGAGGCTCACTTCTGAGGCCATATCTGAAAAATAATTAAGCAATGAAAAATGGTAAAGCACCTGCCTAGCAAGCTTGAGGCCCTGAGTTGAGTTCAAACTCCAGTAATGCCAAAAAAAAAAAAAAAAAAAGGAAAGAAATTTTTTTAAAAGTTCAAAACTAGTACATTAATATGAGTTAAATGTAAGCATTAATACACTTATACTCTTTATGCTAATAAGGAGTATTAGTATAAAGCAGGATCATAACCTGACTCATTTATTTTGTGTGAGAAATAACATGTCAACATAGGTTTTATGTAATCAGAGGTTAAGTTTTCCTCAGGTGGGCTTTTTTGAAAGTACAAATTATGACTTCATAACTACCTGTCCTGTTTAAATGTATGTCCTTTTACCCCCTCTCCAAATACTTATTAACTTCTTTACCTTCTTTCCCTTCTTCTTCTTCTTTTTTGAAAGCTTACTTCCAAGAGTGAAGACTGGCTCTAAAGAGTCTACTATATCAAGGTCCCACACCTCAATAACAGGTGTCATGTTTCCCACAGCAATATAATTTCCTACAGAAAGAAACAAAATGCTTGTGATTACAAAACAATAAAAACCTTGTAGTTTGACTGAACACATTACACTGCAGATTAACTGAGTAATGACTTAAAGCAATACTTCTCAAAATGCAGATTCTCTTTCTGGTGGTCTTGGGTGGGCCCAGGTGATGCCTATGCTGTGCTGCTGGTTTTAAGACAATCTGAATAACAAAGACTCAGTCTCTTGGCCTCAGTTATGAGAATTATTGCAACCTAACCCACCCACCTGCCCACTCCCCCTTCCTTCTTCACTAGCCTTTGTGAGGATAAGGATGGGTCAGATCATGAATGTGAATAAGCTTTGCAAACAAGATTGGGACAAGCCTCTTCATTTTAGTTTTGCCTGACATTTTCTAAAACAGGCTATGCCATTAAGCTCATTGGTCACATCGCACACATCATGCCACTTTAATTGGGGTTTTGGAGGATCTTAATAGTTCTACAGTCGAGCAGCTACCTCCTCAGCTACCTAAAGTCTGGAGATACACGATTAAGTGATGGTGTGTTTAAAACTACCAAACTACAACTTCAGAAAATATTAGTACCTTCGTAAAATATCACCAACAATTCTGAACACCTCATACAAAACACACAGTACTAGGAAAACCCCATATGACTAGAACCATTTAGCAACCTTAAGTTTTCCAATTACCAGTAGAATCATCTGGGCTGGGATCAAAATTCAGCCACTCCACACTCAGAGGATAGGCAGACAAGAGGATGTCATGGTGTACGTAAAAAGAGTCTTCTTCTTGATTATAAACTGAAAAGATGGGGAAAGAGACTTTAACGCACCAGAGTTAGAGAAAATGATACCTCACAAAAGAACACTTTTCTGTTAAATCCAGACACACTTGATGGTAGTAAAAAGAGATCCCATAGTCATTATGGCAGGTCTAATATATACCCATCACCTGGCAAGCCCAATGCACACCTGATAAATGGTTCATTCATTACAGAAAATACACACTTGTAAGGTTTCTACAAAGAGTACTTATTAAACAAAAACAATACTGGAGAAAAAGAGTTCTTATTTGGAAATCTAAGTGCTTATCAAAACTTACTGTTTTTAATACTTAAAAGTTTATGAATACCAACAATGTCAATGAAACTCTGCAGGCACCCTTTTGGAATATGGCACTAATAGAATTAGCCCTTTAACATTCACAGTTACAAAGTTAAGGAGCAAAACTTAAAATCAATGACTAAAAGTCTTAAAAATTAAAAAAAGTGAAACACTGATAAAGTTGAGACCAATAAGCAAGCACTCATCACCTCCTGCCTACCATAAATAGGTATTTTATTTTTTTTCACTCTCTGTCCCCCTCAGTACTGGGGTTTGAACTCAGGGCCTTCCTTGTGCTTGCTAGGCAGGGGCTCTACTACTTGAGCCACACTTCCAGCCCTTTTTGCTTTAGTTATTTTTCAGATAGTCTTGCCATTTTTGCCTGGGCTGGCCTTGAACCACAACCTCCTACCTATGCCTCCATGTAGCTGGGGTAACAGGTGTACATCACCACATCCAGCTTATTTTGCTGAAACGATGCCTTATTAATTTTTTGCCTGGGCTGGCCTTAAATTGCAATCCTCTTGATCTCTACCTCCTGAGTATTTGAGACTACAGTTGTGAAACACTGTGCCATGTCTAATATGCTTTTTATTAAATATGATTTCCTTGTGTTTTTAATGCCTTCAACCTCTGCTTCTGGGATAGATCCTGGGATCAGTAATCTTTTTGTTCTCAGCCTCCCAAGTAGGTACGATTACAGGTTGTGAGCCACAGCTTACAATTGATCTTAAAAAGAAAATTACATGATTCTCATCTAAAATATGTAGAAATTCAAAGATACAACAATTAAGAGAGAATAACTTCACGTTATAGCAATTTGAAAGTCTTTTTGTAGAAGAATTTTATGAATATATCAAAATGAGCTATGGGATAAAACAGGCCTAATCTGCAGGCTTCTTTCTGATAGTCTTGAAGATTCTTGAGAGTTACAGAAATTTAAACAAAGAAATAGAAGCAGGGGACTGGGCGGGGTGGGCAACAGTAGGCAGGTGGCAGACTGCCTGCCTAACATCCACAAAGCCCTGGGTTTGACCCACAGTATTACAGGAAAAAAAGGAGGGGAAAAAAAAGGAACCATCAGTGAAGCAACCTCAAAGATGCCAATAAACATTAAGCCCAAAGGTCTTATTTTTCAAACTGTGCAAGTATGTCTCCATAACAAAAGACTTTATCACCCTAATAATCTCTGCAATATTGAAGTTTCAAGACATATGAATAATACAAGTCTAATCAGAATTGTCACTACAAATCCCCCCTTGTATAATGAATATATCCCAATAAAAAATGTATTAAAAAAAAAGATAGATGAACAAAAGACCTGCTGGGGAGGAAGAGGTTAGAGCAAGAACGGACTTGTCCAAGGGTAGATGCACAGAGGAAGGGGCAAAGAGGCACAAGGGTATTTCAGACTCTTTAGAGGTCTATTTTTAGTATATAAAGCCTAAAGATTTTACATTAAAAATACCAGAGTGAGGCAAGTCATTCAATTAAAGTTTCTTAAGTTAATAAATAATCATTTAAAAGTATCTAATTATCGGGGATGTATTCAGTTATAGAATATCTGCTCAGCATGAATGAGGCCCTGAGTTTGATGTCCAACACCATGAAGAAAACAAAAAAAGAAAATAACCTCAAATCAGATTACCGCAGAACATTTACTTCTGGTTTTGGAACAAACATTTCCTCAAGTTTTGGTTCCAAAAGAAACTATGGCCCTGTGTGATGAATTATTATGAAAAAAGCAAAATGTTCTGCAAGGGGAAATATCTGAAATGACTCTGAAAAAAGCAGGATAGGAACTTTTCTATCTAATATAATCTTAATCACATAAAAAAATCACTTAATCACATAAAAAGTGCCTGGGGCAGGGAAAAAAGTAGAAATACCAGGGTGACAGGCTGGAGGCATGGCTCAAATGGTAGAGTATCTGCCTAGCAAGCATGAAGCCCTGAGTTCAAACTCCGGTATCACCAAAATATAAAAAGTGATCTTTTTTAGGGCTGGTGGAGTGACTCAAGTGGTAACAGCCCATGTCTAGCAAGCATGAGGCCCTGAGTTCAAACCTCAGTGCTACCAAAAACAACAACAAAAAACCAGGGTAGCAGCTTATCACCTCAGGATAATGGGATTTTATATTTTTCCATATTTTCCTATGTAGTTTTACTGCTAGGTTTCTACACAAAAAAATTAAAACCCCTATCAGAAATTTTCTGGGCCCTATTTCCATTAAAAAAATTCTCACACTGCAATGCCCAAAACAAAAAAACAGGAAAGGATAGCTATGTAAAATTAACTGGATAATGAACTCAAACAAGTTTAAGGCAGGATCTAGCACCTAAAACTTCCTAATGGTAACCACTGTGGTTGTTTTAACCTCACTAGAAACCCTTTTAGTAGCGGACTTATTTTACTTACCATGAACTTCTAAATTGCACTGCTCCTGTTCAGCTCGGCCACAAACAATGAGATTGTCAGTGGGCTTAATCAAGAAATCTTCACGTTCGTATTGTTCCTAAGCAGGCAGGAAGAAAAACCATTTGCTAGAGGCAGAGGTCCAGTGCAGTTTTTCAGACGCTTAAGAGCATAATTAGAAAAGTAATGTGATTATTTACCGTATCTTTAAGGGTAACGTAAGGATCTTGATCATTACTCCCATAGACTGTAAGACCCAAGAGAGATTCACCAAGAGTCTCAGCATCTATAATAAGAATTCACCATTCAAAATGAATGAAATGGTCATCCTGAAAAAACATTTCTTCCAAGTCCATCTTTGGACCTGGATTTAACCATCTACAACTAATTAACTACATTATCCATAGCTGGGAAAAGAAACAATGAATGAATTCAAAAACCATTTATATTCAACTTTTGAAATACATGACAGTCTTGGAAATCACCATCTTCCAATGAAACCCTTTCAGAAAACATTAGAACTCTGCTCAGATTCTCTAGCTTGCTCAATGTAACCATGATTCCAGGTGCTACTGAGAGGAAGCTCTGGGGACCTGAAAATAAAATAGTCCTGAGACACTGAAGTCAACAGAATAAACAAGGACTGCCTGGTCAAAATTGAGAAACGCTGGGCTTCACAAAGTTGACAAGTTGCTTTATTGCAAGCAGCATCCCAACCACTGATAAATTAATGGGCCCTATGAATCTGAAAAAGAATGCTGCATGCCTTTTCCATTAAATTTACTTGAAAATGGAATTCTTCTACAAGGATAGCCCAGAGTAACTGAGATGTGCCCTAAAAGCTATGATAAGGGCTTAGATGCCAGTGGGCTTTTGGGAAATGATTAGATCCTGAGGGCTCTGATGTAAGCAAAGGGTTAATCTCTTGATGGGAGGTGGTAGAAAGTAGGAGACAGAGCCTACCTGAAGGAATTAGGTCACCTGGGATGTGCTCTTGGGGCTATATCTTGCTCTTGCCTTTCTCTCCCTATCCGTGTCCATTCCTTCTACCCACACAGCATGCTTTCCAGTTGCCATGAAGTGAGCAACTCTGCCCTACTATTCCCCTTCTGCCATGATGCCTGCCCCTCCACAGACTCACAGCAATGGTGCCAAGCGACCATGAAGTGGCATCTCTGAAATGTGAATCAAAATAAATCTTTCCTCCTTTTAAATTGTTTCTCTCAAACTAAAGCAGATACCTTAAAAGCAACTGAGGCCAATAGGAAAAGGGGAACAGGTACTAGAGAAAAGGTTAGTTCAAGAAGAATTAACCTAGAAGGTAACACCCACGCACAGGAAATCAATGTGAGTCAATGCCCTGTATAGCTATCCTTATCTCAACCAGCAAAAACCCTTGTTCCTTCCTATGATTGCTTATACTCTCTCTACAAAAAAATTAGAAATAAGGGCAAAATAGTTTCTGCTGGGTATTGAGGCGGGGGGAGAGGGAGGGGGCGGAGTGGGTGGTAAGGGAGGGGGTGGGGGCAGGGGGGAGAAATGAACCAAGCCTTGTATGCACATATGAATAATAAAAGAAAAAGGAAAATAAGTAAATAAATAAATAGTTTCTCTCAAGTATTTGTTACATTGACAAAAAGTAACACAGTAAGATAAAACTCAGTGAAAGGAAGAGAAACTGAATTATTAGCACTTCATGGAAAGTGCTAATTGTGAATGCCAGGTATCCAGGCTAGGCTCTTACTTTCTCTGCATTCCTAAAGCACTGTGTCCCTAACAAGGTTGGGACCAATAACCCAGTGCTGCTGGACTATATCTACTGAAGTATACAAAGAAGAATGAAGGCTTCAGAGTCAGTGTTCACGCTTCAGTACCATCTTTCACCAGCTGCAGGACACTGGTAACGGAGGCAGTAATTCCTCTCTTAGTACTCCAGATAAAGAAAAACAAGGCCAATAGTAGTGTACAGGACAGATGGCCAGGGGAATGAGAAATAAGAGGGAATGGACATCTAGATAGAAAAATGGACAAATAACAAAGAAGTTGACACACACGGAGTGAAAAGGTCATGATCACTTCTTGTCTGAAGGAAAAGGGGTACACCAGTGATAAGATGAAAACCAGGGACACCAGCTCGGTCAGAAAGCTCATCTACAAGAATAATGGAAAATTCTTACCTGGCTCTCTTTCTTTCGTTTTTCTCCTTTTCATTCCTTGTGCTACAGTTCTGATCTTTATTGCTTCTGGTCTAATATATCTTAAGTCTCCAGCTCCTCCAGAGCTTCATCCTGTTTTCCAACACTTTCTCCACTGCTGCACAAGTCAGCTTCTTAAGCTCCTATCTAACAGTCAGGTGCCCAATGCTCAAGTCTTAAATGATTTTGCTTTGCACAGAGAACACAGAAATCCACAAGCCTAGTATTCAAGCTCACTGAGACCCAATACATATTTCTAGACTTTTCACAAACTCCTCATCTACTTTTTTAGTGCTTCACTCATACAGGTCAACAATGAGGTGTTTTCCCCAATTTGGGTTTTTATCCAGGCTGTGGTATTATAGCCTTTCAATACTTTGCCTCATTCCATTAAATTTTCCTCTTTTTGGACGACTGTACTCCCAAAATGTTATATAATTTCAAGCATATTATAAGTGCATATAAGAACTCATAAACAATTACAGATTATTGTACCCGATACAAGCAATGAAATATACAATACCATATCTATCTATCTATCTACTCATTTAGATCTTAGATTTATATCTTAGGTCAGTAGATTAGAACTTACCTTCTAAACTAGTTTAGGAAGCACATTTTCTGTCTAAATCTTGAACCAAATTATTTGACTGATGTCAGGGACAACAAAATTTACAGTAAGGTTTTGGAAGACCACAAGCATGATCTAGTGCACTGAGCCTGTGATTATAAACCAGCAGAAGTGACTGACTTCTCACCTGGGTCGTCATCCTCATCATATCTGTCTAAGTCATACTCAGCCAGCTCATCATCATCTAGTGTGCGGTCATCCTCAGGGTCACCATCCTCCAGGACCTCTCTTGGTCGGGCCTGGGTGCGGGCACTCTGCATGCCATCTTCTGAAGGATGGCCTGCCTCCTCTTCCTCACTGCCACCTTCTTCCCTATGACAATTAAAACAAAAAGGTCACCCAAATGCGCATTCCAATAACAAGACCACTGAGTCACTATTATTTAAGATACACATTCCATTTAGACTTGACTGTAGATAACAACATTCCTAAACTTACTGTAATTTTTCCTTTGCTTCAGCAATGAGACGCTTTACTTCATCTTTACTTAGTTCTACCTATAAGAGAGCAAACGTTTCATTATGCTATATTTAAGGAAATCATTAGAAATGTTTGAATTAAAGTCTTCAAAAGTAAAATATAAATTCGAGCAACACCAAGATGAGAATCAAACACACTGATCCAGGCTGTCTGAATTTAACATAAAAATGGAATTTTTCCAGGTCCCTAAAACTATGATCCCTTCCTACCCAACACTTCAGAAATCATGCTCGTTCTGCTCTACCTCCCTGTCTTGAAGACTGGTTGTTGTAAAGTAGCTCTGTGGAGGCAGCCCATTTGGTTTTTCCTCCTAGTTATCTCTGGCTCTGAGGGTATCTCTCCCCCTCTTCCAGTGGGTATCCCTTAACAAACCATCCTTGCACTGCTTCTCTGCTTTTTTCCTATTACCACTACCAGATACTCACTCAAGGGTCTCATATGCATGCAGAATTCATTTATTCATTTATTCTCAAGATAAAACCTATCCATGGGAACTGATTATTCCAATAAATTCCTGGTGGAATTTACATCTATTGAAGTATTATTCTAAACTTGCCCCTCTCTAATCTTACACTTCAGTTCCATTTTTGCAACTGTCTATAAGACCTAAAACTTGGACACCCTTTTATTCTAATAACTTTAAAACCTAGGTCACAAAAAATAAGACAAAGCTGTACTTCAAAATTGACGTTCCCTCACCTAAGCAATGCTTGAGTACCTTCAAAACACCTCTATCACTACTAAACTAAGCTCCGTGAAGACAGATACCAACTTGTCACTGTATACCTACCTGCACAGTTTCAATGCTTGATAGATGTTAATGCTTTATGACTGTGAGTCAACAGATCGCCCAGTCTCTACTAGTAAGCCTCTAGTAATACAGAAATCCTCTTGAGAATGATATTCCATTGTGGGACAGATCCAGAAATTAAAAGTTAAAAGATATTTGTCTGATTTCTCTTAATGGTCTAAGTTTTTCTTTTGAGGATTTCATAGAAGGAATTCAATCAGTTCTTCCTATAATCTCTCTGAGCACTGGTTTCCAATCTTGTCTGCACAAGAGAATCACCTGGGGGACCTTTAAAATTTCGGGACACACTCCAGACTAAATCACAATGCTTGGGAGTGAGGCACAGGCATCAATAATTTTTTATTTTGGTGGACTGGGGTTTGAACTCAGGGCTTAACATAAAGCAGGCACTCTACCGTTTAAGCCACATCCCCACTCCATTTTGCTCTGGTTATTTTGGAAATAGGGTCTCTCTATTTTCCCGTGCTAGCATTGAATCACGATCCTCCTGATCTCAGCCTCCCAAATAGCTAGGATTGACGAGCCACAAGGGCTCTGCAGCATCAGTAATTTTTGAAGCTCCCAAAGTGTTTCCAATACGCAAACTCATTTGGAAATCACTGTCTATAAGTATCTGAATATGAGATACTTTTCTGTTCCTATTACATAAATAATGCATTGAGTGCCAAACACTAAAGAAACAGGGATAAAACACAGTCTGTGACCTGGTGGAATTTACATATGTTGGGACTATTTCAATCCCTCACTCCTGGGAACTCCATGTCCAAGACACTGGTATTCCTACCGCCTTCCCTGTCATCTTTGGCCCAGTCAGTTACATTCACTTCTGTGAATGTCCCATTGACATACTACGTTATTGCGCCGTTATCTGTTTTGTCCATCGCAGGAATGTAAAGTGGAGTTCTCACATTTGTGCCTTCTTCCCAGTTATGTTTGAGAATGCAGTGGGGTGGGGGTGGGGGTGTGGTCCAGAAGCCTTTGTCGTTTGTCCCCACCCCAAGTAGCACCCCGACCCTCTGGCCCACGTGCTTGCGCATTTGGAGGTGGGGCCGGGCTTTGGGGTGCCGGTCCCTGGCTCCCCAGGCCCAAGAGACCCAAACAGTAGGAGCCGCAGCTCCCATCACGACAGTCAAACCGAGCCTCCTTCCCCCGCCTGCAGTGCAGGTTCCCCAGGCTGGGTCGACCCCGCGTGCCTAACAAGGCCGCTCCCCCATCTCAGAGGCCTCACCTTGTCGGGTGTCTCCTTGGCCACGCCGCAGCGGACCCACGCCACGCACGTCACCTGGCGGCTGCGGTTCATGGTCCTCAGCTCACAAGCGTTTCAGGAAAGAGACCCGGCTACAGCGAGAGACGCCCCTGCAGTGCAGAGCTCGCACGCTCGGGCTTCGCGCGGGGCCACAAACCTGCAGAGCGCAGGCGCCGTCCCTGACGTCACTCGTAGGCGCCGGAGGGAAGGGGGCGGGGCTGTGTGGGGAGGGCGGGGCTGCGTCCAGTGAGGTGAAAACGCTTTTTGGGGCTGTCAGTCGTGTCGTGGCGTCTGCCGGCTTCGTGGAGGCAAAGCCCCAGCCATCTTTATGCATCAGTTCCATAGCCTTCTGGGTGACAAATGGTAGTGAGTGGTGTTGTGGGGGATTTTAAAGTTTTCACCGAAATGAGTCCTATCTTATCAAGGAGATTCCGTCGTTAGATTTCATTATTTTCTTTATTTTTGACGGCGTTGAGGATCGAATCCAAAGCAAGCGTTCTACCACTGATCTACTTCCCTCGTCCATTCATTTCTTTCTTGAATGTTATTTTCTGCCCTTAAAACATTAAACGATAATTACATACAAAGTGGACGTAGGATTGTAGCACACAATGTGCTTGCCAGGTTGGAGGCACCATTTTAAGTCTCTATTAAAATGGTTGTTTCAAACCATGAAGTTGTTTTTCTTTCTTCCTTCCATATTGTTGTGTTGGGGGAGGGGAGTATGGGAGGTGAGTAGTGGGATGGGACCTGGGTTTTAACTCAGGGCCTTGTACTTGCTAGACTGTGCTCTACTACTTGAGCCACTCCTTCGAAGCCTTCTTCCTTCCGTGATTTTTTATTATGGTAAAATGTACATAATGTTTAACATCTTAACGCTTTTTAAGTATATAATTTAGTGGCAGTAAATATAAATCACTGTTTTAAAGTCATTGTTTTAATGCAGCAATAACAAAGCAATAGCACACATGTACTGATTTGTTAGTAGAGGCTGACTTTTTTTTTTTTCAAGTCACACAGATAATAAGGTTTGAGGGAGGCACATGTCATGCAATGGCTTGAACACCCAATCGTCATGTTTATGAACCAAAAAAGGATCGAGGCTGACTTCTTAACACCTGGTTATGCTTACTCAGGTGGGCTCATCAGGTATACAGGAGTGTGCTGCATTTGAGTATTTGAACCTGGGTCAGTTCCCTCTGGGAGTTCTCTTATAAGTTACCAGTTGCCCGGTGATGGCCAGGTCCCTGTCTGCTTTGCTGCCTCAGAATGGGCACTTGATAAATACTTGTTAAATGAATGAGTAAATTAAAGAATGGAAGGTGTTGGGAGGCAGAGCAGGGGAATCTCAAGTTCAAGGCCAGCCCAGGCAAGGTTAGCAAAGATCTGTTTGAAAAAACAAAGTAAAAGCAAAAGAACTAGTATGTGACTCAAGTTGTAGAGGTTAATCTACCAAGTGGGAGGCCCTGAGTTAAATGTGTGTGTGTGTGTGTGTGTGTGTGTGTGTGTGTGTGTGTGTGTGTGTAAGGTGATCTGGGACTGTGGGAGGCCCTGAGTTAAATGTGTGTGTGTGTGTGTGTGTGTGTGTGTGTAAGGTGATCTGGGACTGTGGTAAATGGGGGTCTGCCAAACCTCTTTACTGGACTTCTGACATTCTACCACTTCAGCCCAAGCTGTGAATTTCCTTTAAAAATGAATGTCCAACTGCAGCTGACATTATTAGTTCTTTACAAGACTTGACAGAGATTGAGCTTAAGCAGTTCAGTTTCTAAGCCTGATTCTTGGGAACTGATGAGATTTTTTACTCAGAAAAATCTCTGCTAGAGGACAAAAAAATTGGCTATTCTTAGAGTTAAAGGTCCCAGAGGATTGAGCCAGGCCCATGCCAGGCTCTGTTACACCCTCAGGCTTGGCCCCTTGTGTGAACAGGCTCATAAACGTTAATAGTTGGCCTTGAGTGCTGGGTAAAAAGGGAAGTCTTCGGCATCCTTCCCCATTAGACTAGTCTCTTGTATGTTGCTCCTCCTTTAGCTAACTCTACAAAATTAGTGGATAAGAGTTGGAGGACTAATAAATAACTATTAGTTAGCAAGCGCTGGAAACTTATTCTATAAACAGATCTTTCTTTTTCTCTCCTTTCCTCGCTTCTTCTCTCCTCTCCTTTCTTTTCTTTTTTTTTTCAGACAGGATATTTCTATATAGCCCAGACTGGTCTATATTTGTGATCCTTTGGCCTTAGCCTCCCAAGTGCTGGGATTACAGGTATGTACTACCATACCCTGCCCATTAACAGATTTTACAGTGACAAAATCAAGTATACAAAAACGAAACATTTTTCCTGAACTTAATTTCCATTTTCATGAGGTTAAGAACCATGAGGGTCTTGTTTCACAGCATTGCCAATACCTAACAGAGCGCCTAACACAACAAATGTCAATATTTATTTATTGGCATATTATTTATTGAATAAATGAATGATATTAGAATTCTAAGCTGAAGTTCAAAGAAGTTAGGACATTTGCGTATTGTCCTACAGTTAGTTATGACAAGATACTATGTAACTCTTCATATTGGGTCTTTTTCTTTGTGCCACACAAGTTTTCTGGTAGAGTTGCTTATCAGCTAATTCATTGATTTTCTTGGATGCAAGTGACAGATAATCCAACTCTAATTTCTGTAGGTAATATATGGAATTTATATGCTAGAATAACTCAAGAGTCTAAGGATGCCAATGACTTTGGGTTTATCTGGATCTAGGAGCTTAAACCCTTCTCACCAGGGTTTGACCTCTCCCTTCTCTCCTCTGTCTCCCAGTATATCAGCTTAATTTCAAGCCATCAGCAGCTTCATGCTTGCAGCACCATCACTGACAGAAGCCCTGCAGAAGAGCCCTTGCCTTTATCTCTACTTCTTTCTGTATAGTTTTGTGGCTTGGGCTAGAGTTTTTGGATCAAGGGAAGTGGGGAAAGGTGCCATCTTCTGATGGGAGGGTGTGTAAAGAATCTGTGACTATATCTACAACAGACAGAGCAAGGCCCAGAGCAAGGAAGAGACTCCTGAATTCAAACCTCAGCCCTGCCCCCTTCCCCCAAAGGAAGATACTAAAAGTCACACACCACAAAGTGTCAAGATGGGAGACAGAGCCTGGTTTTCTGGAGTCATTCCTGTTTGATTTCTCCTACATCGGAACAGCCTCTTTTGGAAGGGAAGACAGAAATGTGTGCCCAGGGAAAAATGAAGGTTTTCCTCAAAAGCCACAGATATAATGAACTCAATTACATCTCTCCCATCTCAAACTCCACCTCCGTGGCTTTCACAGAGATTTGTGGGGGGACAGGGATGTGGACTGCATTGTTTAGAGAAGTACGGGAAGTATGGATGGGTTGGGCAAATGTTTTGATTCCTCCTTCCCGAAGTCAAAGGAGGAAGGACTTTATTTCAAAGGATTCTGAACATGGTGTCTGGGCTTTTCCAGCCCAACTTTGGCAAACATCAGTCGCATTCCTGTGCAGGGGAGTCTGAATGGACACCAGTCACACGTTTGTCTTCTTTATGCTATGTCTTCTGTACCTCAGCCTTCCCAGGGGCTGGGGGAGAGTCCAGGCCAAATGAATATTTGAGGAAGAAAGGGAAGGTTGACATCTGTGGATCTTTGTTAAGGATGAACGACTAGAACGATACAGTTGTGTAGCTATGAGATTACTGAAGCAGAGAAGTTGTCAGATTATAATTACAGGCTCCTAAAATGGTGTATATGGCTTATACCCATGCCTGGCACTTATATTAATGCTTAGTAAATATTTATCAAATGGGTGGATGGATGAATGAGTGAGAGTGAAACTTGTCAATCTCTCACTGATGGAGCTGATCATTTGACTGGAAGAACACGTGGGAGCCCTGGAATGCAGGACTGTGGCTCCACCTAGTGGACACTCCAGGATTAGGCCTGGACCTTGAATTTTTTTCTCGTTTTGTTCTGCAGCTCTATCGGCTTGTTTCTTCTTTACCCACTTTAGCGTTCATTTTTTCTTTTTTGTTTTCACAGTGCTGTGGACTGAACCCAGTGCCTCACACATACCTCTGAGCTACATGTCCAGGCCCCTGCTTTTCCTACTTTGGCATGGTTCACCGAGGACGGCAGCCTGGCCTTGCAGGTGAGCCAAAGCCTATCTGGAGCCCTGAAATGGGCAACTAGAGAAAGGCATTGTTAGAGGGCAGAGTGGACTGGACAGGATGAATTGCTGCTGATGTACGCAGGACACTGGAACAGATGTTCTGTGGTCCGTAACTAGCTGTGTGGGCTTGAGCAACCCACCTGCTGTCCCTGAGTCTCAGTTTTGTCATCTGGGGAGGCAGGGGCTGAGCTCATCAGAGCTGTGATGATTGTGTCCTTACCATGTGTCCCTAGGCTAGTTTTCAGATCTCAGTGTGGGCCCATGTCGCATGTGGGGACTACCATGCTCGTGTTACAACTGAGGACACCGATTTTAGATTATGTAAGGAGCCCAAGGCCTCAGAGCTAATAAGGGCCAGAACCAGGACTTGAACTCACATCCGCCTGATTCCAACACCAGTGCAGTCGGCATTGCACTGCACCACTCTTCAGAGGCTGTCTATCAAATTGCTGAGGGCGTGGCCTCTGGATCCTGGGTTCCTCATTGTGAAGCCTGATTCTACTTACAGGTTTACTTGTGAGCTGTATGGCATTGGCAAGTCATTCAGTCTCTCTCCATTTTGGTTTTCCTGTCTGCAAAACGGAATGACAACAAATGGAAAATAGGATGACGCACACCCGCGTGCAAAAGCATGCACGCATACACACTACTTAGAGGGCTACCCAGCATTTCTAGTCTTTAACCATAAATGCATAGTTATATGTATAGAAACGCGTGTTTATATGTGTTAAGTAGTATTTTCTGCCTGTGAACTTTTGCTGCTCTTTATGACATAATATTTCTAAGTAAGGTTCTATTCATCGTTACAGAGACACACTGAAGAAAGCAAACTTCTCTGTGTATCTTAAAGGTTGTCTCCGTTATGGGGCAACCCGGCCTGGAGGTGTTATGAACTAATGTGTGCATTTTATGACCATTGCAGTTATATTGTGAAGGGTACAAGTATATCTGAGAGGTAGAAGTATTAATT